ATGGAAAGAAAATGGTAGGGAGGTTGGTCTCCCACTCATGGTTTATTAGCTCTGTGCTGTGTTTAATGGTTTATCAGGATCAAATTTCTTTGAGAAGAAAACTGGCTAATGTGGTCAGAGACATCTTTTGTTCCGTCTGGCTCTGGCCATTTTGGGGGAGTAAATAAGCTTTTTTCTGTATCCACTCTGCTTGGGAGCTGTAATAAGTGAGTGCATACTGCAGTTCTGTGACCTTCAGCCAACCAGAGAAAGACACCTCTTCTAATCAAAGGCAAAAGCCACGATCTTTCTTGTTGTAACTTACTGTTGACACAAGAAAGGCCAGAGAGATTGACATCAATCTCTATAGAAACCATTAACCAATGCTGAATAAATCTGCAGCATTGAATCCATATGCATGCTTGCTTTTATTATTCTTGACCTATGGGCACACTTGAGCATTTTGTGGGCTTTGTTTTAAAAGGAATGTTTAAAATGTAGCTAGTTATTATGGGATTTCATTGGCGAAATAAACTGTTTGTGTAGTCTAAATAAAGGAATCTGTATTATTTTGCATCTCCTAAGCATTATTTGCTTAGGTGTGGCTTGGTTTGATTCCAGATTAGCACAGAGCAGAGGCTGTCACTTTAGCTGGGTGTAGCAAAAACAAAGTCGTTTTATACATGTTTTCCAAATGATGTGCTAGTCGTGTGTCATTTGATTCTAACTGTGACTTTATTGGCTTTTGGTCTTAAAAAAATTCCTTCGCGCCTAAACAATGACTGTGTTGGTGGCAAAGACGTGTGTGTTTAAGAATCTCTTAGATGTCCCAAACTCAGGTTGATAATACTTGCCGGACAATCTGGGACCGTGTGCTTAGCTGAAATAGTCTCTGTTAGTCAGAGCTTCAGTGTTTTGAGTTCCTTTTCCTGACTCCCCCAGCCTGAAATCTCAGTTCTAGTTGAGGAGGGTGAGGAAACAAAAATGCTTTTCATTTCATTCTCTGCTGTACATTTTCCAGTTTGGGTGACTAAAGCTGGCCAGGGTGCCTATTTTTGGAAAGAGGAATTAAGATACTTTGGAGAAAGTACTGCACTGTGTGCTGGCATTCCAGATGGCCAAACTAGAGTAGAACCAAGCCCAAGGTTTTGAGGCTTTTGTGCCAATGATGACCTCATGAGGTCCAGCCTGGAGAAAGAGAGACATAGTTCTCCAACAATGATGAAGAATGGCTTCTTCCTTTCATATTTCTATTGAGTGATCTCCAGTGTCCTTCTCTTTTCCTGTCTCTGACAAAATTAGCCCTTTATAATTAACAATTGTTAGATTTTTGGCTTGTCTCTCAGACTTCTCTTAGAGCCCCTTTCACCCCGTCTACTCATTGTGGCCTCTCCACCACACAGAAAAAACTGTGATATTTTTCTCTTTGGCATTCCTGTCTTTTCCTAGCAGGCTTTTTTAGTGGGGACTGTGGGAGATTTTACACTTGATTTGTTGAATCTGAACTCTTTGCTGTAAACTCTCACACACAGAAGGAGCTATCTTTATAAATGACAGAATGGACCTGGCCTGAATGGCGCTTTGTTTACTGTTTTCCTAAAAGGGGCCCCTCTATATTTCATCTGTCAAAGTTGCTTTTCTTTCTTTCAACAATGCTTGATTGTTTTCACAAAAATTCAGGTTCCACAGACAGGAGAATTCTGTATTATATTTTCCTGCCAAATTCCGATCTCTGTTTCCCTTCCCCTGTGCTCACAAAGGGCTCATAACTTACTGTCAACTGTGAGGCCGACCACAAAGCTCCACTGTTGCTCAGCAAATAGGCTCTATTGCAGGATGGCTTGACTAGCTTGTAAAGTTTGCTTAACTGTAGCAGCAGTGGCAGAAGGCATGTGGTACTGTATCTCCCCACAGGCCCGCAGTCTTCACTTCTTCCATCGACTTTTATGCTTTTAACTCTCTTAATTGTTGAACAGAATTGACACTGCTTTGTTTAAGCAGACTAGATGCTGTTTGACACCATGGCAGCAGTTGGTAGCCTGGGACTCAGGAGAGAATAGTTAGCTTTTCTTTTTTAAATAATTTTTTTTGGTTGGCAGTTAGTGGCTTTGTGATTTGGGAAGGTGTCAAAGGGCTATGCCCTCGAGTTCTGAAGTCCTGGCTGATGTGGCAAGAGAAAGCCGAATTGAAGCGTGGAGGAGCAGCCACTTCGTGTGAGTGATTTGTGCCTCTTTTAGCTGTCACAGGTCTTAACTGTGTTACTTTCCCTTCTAATTTTCGAAACTTCAAAGCCTCCCTGATTGGGTGGGATGACTGTGTGTGAGGAGCTGCTGATGTCACGGTAACGAACTAATAACTTGAAAGGCATTTTTGTATGACATTTTTAATCTTGCTAGGGAATTGTAATGAATTTTATTTTAAAAGAAAGGATTTGATTTTCCTGGGGGTTTAATACACACACACCTTTCTGAGTAGTATTTATTAGATTTTTAAAATGCACGTATTTCTTTTTCCTGTGTAGTGTAAGGTCCTGGTATGTTATTATGTAGGAAGAATGACAGACTTCATACATGAACTCTTTTGGCAAGATCAGCCTGTCTCTCACTCCTTGCTGTTTTCTAAGGCATGTTGCATCTGACAAGGTACCTTATGTACCGTGGTAAAGATACCTCTCTAATGAAAATATTTTGTTGTAATAAACATTTCAAATAGGTACAATTGTCAAGAGGCCACTGGGTAATTACTGGTGGGCTTTAACTAAAGAACTTAGAGTGATCAATGCTCACAGCAAATTAACTAAGATAGACTGCTATCCTACGAGGATTTATAGTGCTGAACATCATACCTATATTAAATAAAGGCATTTTTCTATGAGACTGTAGTGCATTGAATTACTTCTGAGAAATGAATTACATTAATTCCCTTCACTTCAACCCCCTTTATTCTGTTGTTTGTTTCTTCTGTATATATATATTTTTTTCTGAGCAACAAACACCCTGAGTTTGTTCCCTGTAGTGGTTGGCAAAGTTCAAAATATTTGTTTCTTTTCTCATCCAGCTACCCTAGAAACCTCACTGTTTATTAGCTCCGTCCTCAGGCGAGTTTGTCCTATTGGGACATTCAGCGTCAAATCATACAAATAGGCACCCCAAGCGGCGGGAATAGCGTTTTTGACCGAGCCTCAGAGAAGAACGACTATTTTGCAATAATTCAGTCACTAAAACTCCAAACAGGACACGTTTGCTTCTTTAAAGTAAAAGGCAGTGAGAGGATACATGCCATGTGTCTTCAGTCAGCCCATGAAGCTGCACTGCGGCTCTACAGCACAACCCAGGAACTGGCTCCTCGACTTGATTTAGAAATAGAGAAAATTGTGTAAAACAAGAAGCATTTTGGAGCCTCTCATGCGGGGCCAGGAATCACTGCTGCTCAGGGCACTGGTTTCCCCGAAAGAAAGCAAGTGTGTACTCTGAAAAGCATTCATGCATTTTGGAAACATGGGGTGGCTTAGACTTTCTGTGTACTGTCAAGTTAATGTAAGTACTAATGGAAGTATGGTTTATAATAAGATTGATTTGTTTAAAAATCAATTTAAATCAGCTGGTTACAGTATCCAAATTTTTGGACTGTTTGTTTGTTTATTTATTGCTATTGAAAATCAAGGAAAGAGACGGACATAGGGAGGCTCAAATAGACAGCCAGCGTCTCGCACTCTGCTCTGTTCTTGGAAAACAGCTCTCAGTAGTGTGGCCAGTAGGATCTGGTCTTTCCAGAGTAAAGACTGTGTTATCTGTAGCTCTCTGCAGAGGTGCTGTGTATGAGCCTCTCTATATAAAATGTACTTTGTCACTGGTCCATTTACTGGGTCACAGATAGACTGAAGCTAGTAAACTTTCACTGAATAGAACTTTAAATGTGTGTTTCTAAAAATTCAGAATTTCTTCCTTTAATAATTTTTATTGGTTTTGTTTGGGCCAAAATATTTTTTCTTTAACTTTTATTTGAAGCAATTTAGCACTCTTTCTATGTCTACTAAATGCTAGGTACTTTCACAGTCATTAATTTAACCTTCACATCAACTTAACGGTACATGAGCTGACCGTTGTACAAATGGGGATATGGAGACTCAGAGAGTTAAATGATTTCTCAAGTCCATAGGTCTATTAATTGAGGGATCCAGGATTTAAATTCCATATCAGAATATTCCAACCATACCAGTCTTCCATATGACAATAGATTCTTTTAGGACAAGTAGGGTGTTTTCCAGCTTTAGGCATCATAGATACAAATAAATATTTATTTTTAAAGAAATCTAAGTAGATGATAGACTAGGCATGGCAGTACCAAAGTCATCCAGATAACTGTCTCAGTCAGGTTTGGGAAGTTGAAAGACATGCGTTCATGTTCGGGGCCCATGACTATAACATCCAATTCTTTCTTACAGCAAACACCACAGCTGGGCAAAGCCAGAGGTTCTTTGCTTGATAGATGCAGTTAGGTGCTCAGTAAGGAGTCTCTTAATATGCAAGACTGTGGGCAGCCACATTTGACTTTCATAATGATAAGCAAAACAATTCTGTGCAGTGATTCATGGAGACAATTGGATTCTCATGTTCTCCTGGAGCTGTTTATTTTCCAGCTGTTTGTTACCAGCAAATGCAAGTGAGGAATTGAAAGCAAATAGCTATCAAGGTAGAAAGCTACAGAGGTATGGAGTGAAAACCCATGATAGTGGCACCTTAGTTATCTGTGGAGGCAGGCTGCTTTGCACATATGAAAAATGCAGAAATCTGTGTTGCTGGTGAGAACCTTTCTTCAGCCTTTACAGACAGTGACAGTTTAACAATTCATGTCCTCGTGTCTGAAGCTTTTCTGCTTCTCTCCCTAGAAGTTAGGGCATACGTAATATCCTGTGCAGTCAGGCTTAAGAGGCTGTTTGAGTTCCTGTGCCCTGACTGGGATCAGCTGAACTGTTGTAGCTAAATGAATATTGCTAGAGCTCTTGTTTCCCTTTCCCTCAGGGCTCCCCTGACACCTGCTTGTCTAGATGCTATAGCAGTAGGAGCCATAACTCTTGAAGTGGTTCCAGCCCTGACCTGCTTCCAGGGTGACTTCTGTGGTCAGAGCTGGTGAGTAGAAATTGGTTCTCATCCTCTAGGCCTTGAAATGAATGAGCAATGGTATCTTTGTATTTTACTATTGACCATTTAAGGACCTAGCTGTATGTGTGTAATCAATGTTTACCAGAAAATGCAAGCTAGAAAAATATGGTTTATGTTAAGAAACACTTCTTAGAAACTACAGTGCCCCTCCCAGTCTCCTGTACTAGAAGCTGTAGTTACTTCCTCAACTGATTTTGTTGTCAAAGTGCCTGGAATGAGAGTCAGGGTGGTCTGTTCAACAACCTCCTCTTCTTCCTGCTTGTCTTAGATACTTTTCTATTGCCATGACAGACTACGACTAAAGCAACTTATAAATGAAAGCTTTTAATTTGGGGAACCTCGTTAAGGTTCATTGCCATCATGGTAGAGACCGTGGCAACAGGCATTGGAGCAGTAACTAAGGGCTTAGATGTTGAAACAACAACCACAAGGCAGAGAGAGAGAGGGAAAGAAAGAGAGAGAGAGAGAGAGAGAGAGAGAGAGAGAGAGAGAGAGAAACTGGGAATAACTTCAGCCCACACCCAGTGACACATCTCCTCCGACAAAGCCACACCTCCTAATTCTTCCCAAACAGTACCGCTAACTGCATCCAAACATCCAAATATATGAGCCTGTGGGGGGGGCATTCTCATTCAGCTACCACACCACTCCTCTTCTTTCCCCCTTTCCCTGCCTCTTCTTTCTCCTCTCCTTTCTCATCTCTGCCTGTCTTTACCTCTGTCCCTACTCCCAGTTGTTATCTAGTAATCAAGTACCTCCAACTCTAGGAGTAGAAATTATCCTTCATGTTTAAAGTACTAGTAATCAAATCCAGAGGTAGGAAAACACTCTGCCATTGAGCTATACCTCAGGCCTAAAAGAAAACAAATGAAAATGGGTCTTTCCACTAAAGTTTAATTTAAGTGAACAATTTAGAACATAAAAACACACACATTGTATTCATAATAAAATTCTATATGGATGGAATATATTAGTAATGAAGGATTCATGTGATAATTGGAATGAACTAATAGTTTATATTTAAAAAATCTTTAACCCTATTTTCTGCCTAGGAGTTAGACTACCAGCATTCTGCCCTCTGTTTGCTCGGTATGGCCTTGGGTGAGTGCTGTTTTATTTTCTGTTTGTCTTTATGAGACAGGATTTTTGTTATATGGTCCTGGCTGGCCTCTGAGTTCCTATGTAGACTGAGAAAGCCTTGAACCTGGTGCTATCTTCCTGTCTCTGCCTCCTGAGTGCTGGAATTATAGGCATGTGTCATCTCACTTGGCCTTACGTTTTATTTTATCTTTTTTAAAATAAGCAGTGTTGTTCTTTGGTTTCCTTACCATTAAACCGAGCAGAAACATCACCTAACTCCTACAGCTGTCTGAGAACATGAGTTCACACTGTGTGTGGTAACATAGAGCACAGGGCAAGGACTATAAGCTTCCAGTGGAAACTGCGTCTTTCAGTGATTTCTCCAACGTCCTTCTGTCTAACTATCATCTATCCATTTACCACCACATTTCCTCATCTTTTTAATGTTCCTGGAAACATAAATTAATGACTGGTGTGGCTTTTTAATTGCTGTTATGTTTAAAATTTAAAGTGAATTTAATGGTTCAGAGCATGTGGGAAGAGGAGACACTTAATTGTGTATGGAATTGGTTTAGAAGCTTCATTTTATTATTTTTTATTTTAGAATTTTTTTATTCATTTTACATACCAGCCACAGTTTCCCTTCTCTCCCCTCCTCCCACTTTCCTCTTCCCCTTCCCCAACCTACCCTCATCCACTGAAGCTTCATTTTAAATCTTCTGTTACAGTTGCTGTTTTTCTGGTTAGTTTAATACCCTACCTGTTTCATCCTACTCGTTCAATAGCGTTTAAACAACTGAACAATATTTACTGATTTGTCTTTGCACCAAATATTGTACTAGGTTGGCACCAGCGGATGCTGAGAAACATGGAGTTTTGTTCTCTTTCTTGGAAACTCGATAAGCCTAGTTGGGATAATTTATACAATTGTTTATGTTTTATCATTCTTTAATTTTCTTAAAAAATAAGGTTTGTGTAGGGTGTGTGTATCAAATATTAAATAAATGTTGCCAGAATGACTTCCTGGGAGGTGAGGGAAGCAACAGGGAGTAGGTAGAACAAAGGCAGAAAAACCAGCAAAGCTTGAGAACACCAGTGCCCACAGAGTGGAAAGTGAAGGTGTGACCCCGAGAAGGCAGCTTAGAAAGGCTGGGTGGATTTGGGTGCAGGGTCTTAAATGCCTGGAGTTTTGGTTTCATTGTGTCTCCAGGGGAAAGCTACTGATGTTTTGATCAGGAGAGTGGAGGCAGATGGAATGGGCAGCAATTCATTTGAAAGGGGAAGGCAACGAGAGAGACAAGCTAGTTTAGGGTAGGTTGCTAGAATTTGATGTGCAGTAAACCCTGTCCTGAGGTAATTATAAGTATGGTGAGCAAGGAGGGCCTGAGAGACATCACCAGGGCAGTCTGATGCAGCTGAGGCAGGCTGGCAGTGAGGAGCATTGACACCTCTGAGAATCATGCTCTCCTGGACCTGAGTAAACAAGGGAAGGCACCGTGGAAAATTCTGACGAAGCTAGTTTTAATTCCGTTGCTATGGCATTGCAGAGTGTATCTTAATATTAACAACTTGTGGTTGTTTGGGGCCTTTCAGGGAAGGAAGAGGACTCAATATCTGGACTAGAAAGGGTAATCACAGGTTTTAGAAATAAAGCAGGGAGAGACTTGATCAAGAGCACAGGGGCAGAATAGAGGTGATGGTGGCAGCCTCAGCATGTGTCGCGAATGTTTGTAATTGTTCACTTAAGTAAAAAAGAATGATCCATTTGCTCATTATGCCCTCTCTACTTTTCCTCTGCCTGTCTTCCTAGTACTGTTGAGCATCTGTAAGGTGTGTGCTTGCTGCCAGGTACTGAGATCCAGCAATGAACAGGCCAGGTGGGCGTCTGGCTGTGGGTCACATCGGATAAAAATCTTCCACTTACAGAGCCTGTGACAGTGTCTGCTGGAGCCCTAGCAGTGTTTCTCTGAAAGGCATGCCTTTTCTTGTGGATAGACTGTGTTATCTCTGGGAATGTCAAGGAATGAACATCTCTGAAGTTCAAAACTCCTGGGCACATCCCTTCGGCTAGGAGATGTTTACTGTGTAAGGATTTTTTTAGAAAGAAAAAGTTTGTTATGTTCCGTGAAAACTGTAAGATCGAGGGAAATGATAATTTTCTAAAAGTATTATTCCCCCTCATCCAAATGTTTCACTAGACAACAGGAAATTTATCAGATATCATAGTTAAAACTTGCCCCTGAGACCTGACTTCTCCCTTCTGGTTCTCCCCACCTAGAGTTTCTGACTATGCATGCAGTCTGCCTGTGTGAGCATCTCTTACACTTCCCTGACAACACAGAATGAAGAAAGTGGAGTGCAAGGGGAATTCAGACTGGTCTCAAGGAAGTATCCAGACAGGGGGTGACATGACAGATTGTCACTCTTCGATTTGTATTCTTAGATTCAGGCTCAGGCAATCCTGAGCTGTTGATGGTGCCCAGTTTGTTCCTTCACCTGGTGCAGGTCTCTCTGCTCCGCTGCTAAAGTAGCTGCTTGTGGGTGAGTGATTAGAGGTGAGACTTTGTAGAGCAGAGGTGAGAGGCAGAAGTGGAGGACCAGACTTAGCAACCTTATACACCTTCCTAGTAAGGAAGGACACTGTTGATGGAAGAAGAGTCCTCTAAAGTGGGAGTGTTTGGGGAAAGGGAAGGGTGTGTGTGTGTGTGTGTGTGTGTGTGTGTGTGTGTATGTGTTATCATATTGGAAGGAACTATCTGAATCTGAGTATTTTAAATTTCGAGTTAGATATAAAAGAGTTAGATATAAAAGAGCATTAATTACTTTGCTAAGAAAACTTTACGTGATAAATTTTCTTTTTATGTGTCAAGATACTGATGATAATAGTTTTGCCTGGACCATGGCATCATCAATGTGTGGGAGAGCCAGTTCAAGCTTTTAGAACTTCAAAGCCAAACCAGTTTGGAGTTATGGAGTCCTCGGGAGAGTGAGTCAGTTTGGTCACCAGTCTTGGGCAAGAATTTCAGATGCTAAATGTCTAAAAAGAATTCATTTTTCTAAATTTTTATAGAAATAATCAATTTATAGGATAAATTTCCAACTTCAAAAATTTAAGCATTTAGAAGACAAAGTATACAGCTTCTTTCTTTTTTAAAGAAAAGTTAAGTAAAAGCTAATGAGGTTGGATTCCCACTTTCAGGAAGAAGTCTATGCTAGAAAGAAATTTCTGGAGGTGAGGATTTTTTTTTGTGATGGATGTGCTGCTGAGTGTAATTGGTGTAAGCCACTGTGTCGTCACCTGTAGGCCTTTGCACCCTGTCGGTAAGGTTGTGAGGCTCCTATTTATATTTGTTTCATTCTCCATAAATTGGTGTTTCTTGTTGTTTTCCATTTTTATTTGATGTAAGACTAATAAATCTTATTGTTACACAATATGGAGCTTGCATCGCACACTCAGGGTTAAAGCGTTTTCCTTATTGGGGGAGCCAGATAGATGTGTTTACTCTGTAGAGAGGTTTAGATTTGATTTTTTGTTTTCTTTGTGGTAATTATGTTTGCACTTTGCTGATCACTACTTGTGCATTATTACAATGGAAGGTGACAATTTGATTGTCTTCAATTGGAGAAACAAGTAATTTTATATTCACCAAGCTGTCAGGTAATACTAACTCACAGTACTGAGAGCTCCTGGCAATGCGGTTTGGCACCTATATTTAACTGCTTTGATGCTTGTGTAACCTCTGCTGAATCAGAAATGCTTCAGAGACGGTTTTCAGGACTGTGCAGTAAGGTTTTCATTAAGGAGACAAACTGAAAATGAGCTGTAAAGCCAGGCTTCTTGTTCCCCTCCCTTTCCTCTGCCCCCATCCCCACTGCTCTCCTTCTTCCTTTCTCTCACCCTCTCTCTCTTCCTTCTCCCCACCTTCTCTTCTTTCCCACCCTTCTTGGAAAGGAATCTGAAACGTGTGCTATTTCCTTACCAGAAAGAATTGCCCCATAGCTTTATGTAACTGAAGGGAACCTAGAAAATCACCCTCTTTATATAATTTTGCCCAATATCGCCATGTTTGAGATTTCATATTGGAAAACATATCTCAATAGTGTCCAGCTTTCATCTCTCTCTTCTTTTCTGAAAATATTAATCAGAAAGTCACAGTGAAGGAAGAGTAGGCAAATAAATGCAGGGATAAGTTTTTATACTTTCTGTCTGAGAAGATGTGACTCTAGTTTGTGACTTTTCTTAATAAGCAGATGAGATGTCCCAAAATTGGACACTTCTATCAGTGGACCAGTTTCAGCTTGGTGGGGACACCCCTTGAAAAATTAGAGTTCCCATCCCCTGTGAAGAAAATGGTGTAAGTGGGCATGCGGGAATAAATCCTCATGCTGTTATTTTAGACAGCCTTCTTGCACGCAAGCCATGAAGAGGTCTTTCAGTTGAGCTGCACAGTGGCTGAGCTTGATTAAAACCTTCTGAGTTAGGGTGTGTATTTATAGTAGCCATTGTTTGGTTTTGATCTGACTGTCAAGCCACTGATTTTATTTATATTCTCTGGTAGTGGCTTTCCAAAGCAAAATTTCCAACAGCTACTGGTAGATAAACTGTGAGAAAACTCAGTTTTATTTCTAGCAAGCAAAAAGTGTAGTGGCTCCATGATATCAAGTTGTTTTGATCTTAGACAGAAACTGGATACACAGGGACAAATGTGATAATTTTAGGTTTTCCATAGGCAGTCAACCAGAGCCCAGTCGTTGGGCGGTTGCCTGTGTCTTCTAGCAGACACTGACCAATTAGACAGAGGTGGTTACGTGATGTAACATTATCAGGAGAAACAATTCATGAGTCAAAGCATTCCAAGACATATGAGCTCTAGTCCAAAGAACAGTCTTAAGCTATATAAAGTGACAGCAACATTGTCAGCTAAATATAGACACCAGAGACACAAACTCTGATGACTTGAGAGAAATCTGTTCCAGGTAGTTCCTGCTCTGTAACAACCTCAGAGGGCTTTTGGTGACAA